TGTGTATGAGTGTATTGCCTGCATGTATGTGAGTGCACCCGTGTCATGCGTGCCCACAGAGGTCAGAAGAGGACGTCAGATTCCCCTGGAACTGGAGTTACAGATGGTTGTTAGCGGCCATGTGGGTGCTGAGAATCGAATCTGAGTCCTCTGCAAGAGCAGCCACTCCTCTTAACCACTGAACCATCTCTCCAACCCCAAGATTTTATTTTTAAAATTCTCTCTCACTGATTACTAAAACAACTGAAATATATTTAGACTTTTTATAGTCACTGATCTCATTTTCAAAATGAAATTCCCTCCATTTTCTAATTCAGCAATGTGAGTAAATAAAATGTCTATCATGTTTGTAAAGTCTGACTTAAAGGACCAAAGCTAAGTGTTGGTGGGACACGCCTGTAATTCTAGCACTTGGGAAGTAGAAGCAGGAGGATAAGGAGGACAAGGCCAACCTGGGCTACATGGGAGCGTGTCAAAGAAAAAGTAAAAAAGAAAAGACAAGTCTGTGTGTGTGTGTGTGTGTGTGTGTGTGTGTGTGTGTGTGTGTATTTCCTTTGGTCTTTTTTTTGAGACAGGGTCTTGTATGTCACCCAGGCTGTCCTCAAACTTGTGGCCATTTTTTCTCTTTCAGCCTCTTGAGTGCTGGGATTACAGGCATGAGCTGCCTGGTTGGGTTCTTCCTCTCCAGTCTTAGGGAAAATTTTAATTATAAAATTTCTAGTCAGTGAGGAACACTAAGTCTTAGTATTGAGACATGTATAACAGTATATACCCTTGTTCCTAAGGTAATCCCTTGCTAATATCCTTGTCCTGTGTACAGAAGATGCTCATGCTTTCTCTTCAAATATATTGTCTTAAACCTCTTAGCTGGTACTAGCTGTAAAATGTTTAAGTACATGGCATTTGTAGTGTTATAAGCAAACTTTTTTTTGTGTAGGAAACCTTTCTTTGCTTCCAACTTTTAGAGCCAGTTCTCTAGATAGTAAAACCAGAGAGTTACAGCAGAATGAACCTTTCAGGCCTCAGTTTCCCATCCTAAGAGTTCTCATTCCAGGAAGTTCATATTCTGAGCCAAGTCAAAGTGTTGCAGCCCCAACCAGAAGCAGGCTATGTCCCTGTAGCAAACTAACTTGAATGAATTCTTCCTCATGAAAAAATCTCTGATCTTAAGTTCTACCATGGTAGCAATATTTCCTTTTAAA